CGGAACAGCTAACAAAGCTAGGGTGAAGGAGAGCAAGGGAAAAGCTGAGCTGAAGAGAAGCTGTTGTCTAGCAGGGAGAGCATTTCAGTTCTGAAGTGGCATGTTGGATGCAGTCTTATTACGGTAGCATTCATAAGCTAGATGACAGTTTCTATAGGAAGCAATCCTGAGACGATAAGGAAGTGGACAATATCATCTCTGTTTCCTACAAAATCTCACTCTTTGCTCGGATCCTTGTTTCTCAGGTTTAAATCTTTTAGGATTTTTTGAGGAAGACCGATTTCTCCTTCCATCTCTTTCCTGCTCTTTGACGTGGGAAACAGGGCTAACTGTTGTGCATTGATTATGTGAACCATGCATATTATAATCAGTAAAATTTCATAAAATTTTCAACTAGTTTTGCTGTAAAATATTTTTAGGCAAGATAGATCTCTGGCATCAAGGCCTTCCATCGCTTTGTTAGAGGCAAAGTCTTTTTAGAAGCTCTTATCTCTAAGATCTTACAGAGGTTAAGTCAACTGACATTTTGTTTTGAGCTCCTCAATCGTGGCCATTCAGAAATTTGTCATGGACCATATGCAAAAATGTCCTTAAAATGCTGGATAAATTTGTGTACTACAGCTCAATAAATTAGTATTCTTCTGTACTTGTTGTAATTACAATGATTCTTCGTGTTCACTTTGCTATTTGAGAGAGCCAATTTTTCTATTAAAAACATTTGCAATTGTTTTCCCTCAATTGTTCTAGCCATGTTATAATCATGTCATATAATGACCTTCAAAACGTGTCTAGAAAAGCCTGCAGCTGTTCCCTCCTTGCTTTCTCTCTATTGAGTTATATTTAAGCCAGTGTCTCTGAAAAAAGGCAGTAATAAAAGGGATATTATCCTTAGCAAATATCTTAATCATGGTAAATCTCTGTTGCCCTACAAATGACTGCATGGGGGATTACAGTTGAGTTAGCCATTTGCTGAATATCACTGCCACCTTTCCTAGGCCATTTAAGCATGTTTAATTTTTCAGGGTGAAACATGAAACCCACTAATACAAATGTTTGCATTTGGACTGAATTATATCCAGACTGTAACAGTTATAGCAGGCTTAGGACCAGATTGTGACAGGTCTGTAGGAGGCCATTTCTGCCTGGGAGAGTGAGAGAGAAAAATGCAGATTCGTTCCTAGTCCCAGCTCACTTATGTCACTTACGCTGCCTCAATCCTTTTCAATATTTACATAAGGGTATTATGGGTTGAAGTACCAGTAAATATATGGATGATGCTTAGCTCTGTATTTTCTTTACATCAATCACAATGCTTACCATTGCCCAGTGCCTGGAAGCCATCAGTGTCTGGATGAAAGACAGCTGGCTTTAGTTCATCCTGGCTAAGATTGAGGTGGCAATGCTATGAAGCAGAAAATACTTTCAGGGACTTATGTCCTCTATAACATCAGTTTCCATCTGTCTGTTTATCCAGATTTATATCAGGTTACCCGGAAACGTTGAGAGCATCTGTTCTCCAGCGATCAAGCTTAAGGGAACCTTTTGAGAGTCTGAAGTAGTATTGCATACATCCTTTCCTTTTTTTTCTTCTTTCTTCTTTTTTAAAAAATGATGTCTTTTATCTGTGGCAGGGGGACTGCAGCCCTAACCAGTTTGGACTTCAGCAGAGCAGTCCGCATATTTACACTCTTGAGAACTGGCAGCTCCAATAGGTATTTCCTAGGGCAGAATTCAGTGACTGAGAGGAGGTGGCACCTCTTTCAGATGGTGCCACACCACAGCATGGCAAGAGTATATCACTCCTAAACTGCACTGGTTCCCAAGGAGTACGCAGTCAAATTCACTATCCTAGTCTAAAATTTCAAGTCATCTGCCTGACTGCTTCCTAGGGCTCCAAGGGTAAGAACTGCAAATGGTAGAGGTAGAGATTTATTGTCAATTATCTCATGACTACTGGACCAACTTTCAGTAGCGATGCAAGTGGCCGTGAATCAGAGAGTCTTCTGAGCAAAATACAACGCTTACTGTGAAGTCCCAGTGAAGTTTCCAAATGATAAATAAACTCTGACTTTGAACGGTCAACAGAATTTAGTAAAGTATTCCGGGGACCTTACATGGGTCTCCAGAGCATGTGGTGGAGCAATCCGTTGTACTTGTTAATTAGAAGAAGTATCTAATAATAACCAAATTGGAACAGGAAATTCAGTTAGTGCCTTGTAAGAAATAAGATCTTCACAGAGGACTCTGGCAACTCGCTCGTTAGAGACTTTAAAATTGATCTTTTTATAAAGTTAATCAACTATTTCATATTTTAACCACTTTGGCCAGTCACAAATATTCTCTCTTCCCATGTTATAGGTTTAACATTAACTCTCTGTAACTCGTTCTATGCCAATTTTATACCCTTGTGCTTTTAGCTTGAATCAATATTTTGTTCGAAGCAATAAAAGTCTGTTTTTTCCATTTTGACTGTCTATCCTTACTTGCAGTTTTTGCAAGTCTATCCTTGCAGTTCCTATGGCTAATAAGTATTACTTTGATTAAGTGATAGTGTTTATACTTTATTAGGTTCTATTACACTCTGTTAGGTTTTACAGTGTATAGTCAGGCTAAAGCTTTGGTCCCACTTCCCTCCCAGACGAAAAAAAATCCTGCGGAAGAAAATGAGAGATGAAGATGCAGCCCTTAGTATTATTCAGATGCCTTCATGGTAATTGTGACTAGAACACCTACACAGATGAAACTGATCCTTAGAGTGGCTGACTGATTCTTTACAGCTCTGTGAGGTTCCTCTCTCTTTACATACTTTAATATTAAAAAGAACTTTATTCTTGCTTCTTGTCACTGTTTTACATGCTCAGATGGTCATAGGTTTATTACTATAGATATTCCCCAGGGATGTGTGATCTTCAAACAGCTTCTTCCATGAATGAGTTAGGTCTTAATTCTGTCTTCATCTAGTGGGAATGGATGAGAAAGTTTTTACCTGTTCCATAAATGTTTTGGCTGTGTGAAGGTGTTCCTGCAGTGAGATAAAAACTGGGACCTTCTAAAGATTTTTGAAAAATGCTGAAGAGGGAGAAGGAAGATTGCATACAAGAATAAATAGGGTCTAGGGTTAAGATTCTTATACAAACTGTGAGGGTTTGGACCAGGGTTTCCACATTCCAGGTGGCTCCTCTGATCTCCAGGTAACAGGCTGTTTTGAGGTGGCTATATTTTTAGTTTTGAGTTGTAATTTTCATGTTGGGAATGAAAAGTCATTTGCTCTCAGACATTGCTTTTAAATCAGTACATTCCTGTCCTGGATATCCTCAGAGGTAGTGCTTGGTTTATTCACATAGTTTCTCCTGAAAAAAATCATCTAATGTAGAAATTAGCCCTGAGCAGGAGTTGAACCAGATGACCTCCTGAGGAGTCTTCAAACCTACGCTCTTCTCTGATTCTACTTTGATGGAAAATTCCCAACCAGGAAGAAACGATTTTTGAGCGTGTAGTTTACAGTACAATCGAAAATGTCACATTTTGTGCTAGCTGCCATGGTGTGAAGACTTAAGTATTAAATATGAAGTACTTATTAGTTAGCGTTCACTGATACTGAGTAGTTTGATACATATGGTCTTGGCAGAAGTCCTCGGATTTTATACATCGGTGTTACCAGGCACAGAGCACCCAAGAGACACGAACAGACAAAAGTCATATCTGTGCTAGTAAGCTACACAGGGCCAAGCGCAGCTCCAAGCACTGGCTGATGATTATCTGCACTGTTTAGTTGTTAGCATGCTCTGTGGCACAGTTTTGACCTGGGACAACTAGCAGCATTTTGGATGGTGACTGACCAAGCAGGTTTGGGAGATTACCATGGGTTGGGGATCACTCCCACTAAGCGGTTTAGATGCAGCATGTTGCGGTGGGGAAGAAGGGGAGGGTTTAGCTATGTGAATGAGAGCCGAGCTGTGCTAACTGGCCTTGAGGCTACAGAGCAGTCTTTGGCCTGTTATAGCTACATCTCTAGCAGTAAATAACATGATCTGATGGAATTTTGCTCTGCAGAGACTGAGGAGGTTGAGGTTGTATTCCTGGCTCTGTGCTGGGTTGGCTGAGGTCATTGTAGACCAGTTATTTTAGTTTTCTTGGTCTCTTTCATGCACACATCTAGATGCCTAGCTGTTTAGATTCAGCTTTACAGAAGAAGGACTTTATCTTCTCTAGTGTGTTGGTAGATATATAAGAGGAGGGCCTGTTCTAAGCTGGGACCTCTAGGGGTTCCCATAATACAAATAATAACAGGAAAGAGAAGGAATGGCATGTGATTGCTTGTGAAATAATTGCCTCATCTCTTTGACAGATGTAAACCGAGAGGCTGTTCTGTTTGCACTAGCCTTACAAAAGCAGGAGTATATTTTGTGTCCTTGGACTGTCTGTTGCCCTTGAGAGCAGTTTTGCACATCTATATTTGCAACAGGCAAGAGCAGTTCTCACTGTTAACAAAATTAGCATGGCTCCTATTTGATCTGCCAAGGGAGATCTCCTTGTGAAAAGAGCTATTGAGCATAATTATGTTCAACTGCTGTGAAGCAGGGTGAACGCTTGGCACATGAAGGGCTGATCTCTGTGGGGAACATACCTAACAATAGGCCTTCACCTTCACCTGCCACAGACTTCTAATATAACCATGGGGAAATCACTCAATTGTCATGCTTCACTTGTATGAAAAGTGAAATTATTGGCTATTTACTGGATATCACGTGCTAGATAAAAAAACATTAAATGTGCTGATAATGCCATAAAGATAGTGTGTAATGCAAAGGATTTGCTATTCTAGCAAATGCGGTTGTAAGGCTGAGATTCTGCTGGCAGCTGATGTGCACATCTGGGCATAGGCCAAGAATTACTGCTGCCTCTGACAAGCTTACGCCATGGGGCGGTGATAAGGCTCCCTTCACGCTGGGTGCCTGCCTCTGGATCAGCTGAATAATTAAGTATTTGTTTCCTTCCAGATGAGTACAAGAGTAAAGTAGCCTGTGAAGATGACAAGCTGAGGCTAAGCTGTAAGAAGAGCATGGTGATAGCCATTTACTCTGCTGTCTTTGGAAGGACGCAAGGAGGCAGCCTGGAGTGCCCGTACCAAAGCCTAGGGATGCCCATGATTGGTAAGCAGGGGAATGTCTTGATACAGCACACTGATCTGGGCAGGGTAATTCCATTTACTGTCATCATGGTAGGGCATGCCACTACTAGGAAAAGCACAACTGGAACATGCAACCTGCTGCTGTGATGCAGCTGATGTGTGGCACCTTGTTACCCAGTAGTAAGCTCCGTCATGAGCTCTGAACTCCTGAGGTTCACCTGCACATCCTAGCCAGATTACTGAGCCGCAGACTTTTGGCAAATTCATCAGATTGAATATTTGAGACTATTCCTTGAGCTTCTTGATCAGTTTTCTTTCCTCTTGGTGTTTCACCCCCTTCTATGCTATGGATGAGTGTATTATCAGCAGGTGTCGTGGACCACCTGTGGCAAAGTCAAGCAAGATATTATATTTAAACTTTAATAAAAGTTAAAGGAATGGGTAGAAATTCTCAAAAACAAGCTATTAAGTTGCATCATGTTATGGTTAGTTTACAGTACTTTCAAGTAGCTTCTTTTCTGCCAGGCTATCACAGTCTCATATGTTAATCTGTTAAAGATCCATACGTTTAAAAACATTCACTAGAACTGTCTGTTCTCGAGCCAACATAAAATGAGTTTGAGTATTTTGAGCTGTGTTAGAGAGAGCGAATGTGTCCCCAGCAAAAATCCTGTGAGCAGCATTCCTCATCATCAGTCTCTGCAGAGGTGAGAGAGGATTGACCAGTTTCCCAAAAGGAACCTTTTCTAGAGGGGGAAGGACTTCAGAGGGGCTGTACAGGGAAGCCTGAGCTGGTATCTGTTCAGCTGTATCTGGAGATGTTTGGCTTTACAGCTGCTGATCCAGCACCCTGAAGGAATTAAATGCTATTCAGATGGAGGCATGTGAAGTGACTGCTTGGAAATAAGATACGCATGTAATGCGTGTCAGTAGGAAACCACAGGTGGAATCAGGCTAGCCAAGTTATTTGTGCGGCACGGTGAGTGCCTGAGTTGTGTTGCTGCAAGAATCCGAGCGCCTGCAGCAGAGCTGAGTGGTTCAGTCTCCTACCCAGTCCTGTGGTTCAGACATATGACAAGAGAGTCACGGTCACTTAAAAAGTTACCTCCTGTCTTCTGAGGTGACTTGTCTGTCCCTGGATGTGCTCCTGTTGTCCCCAGCTGCCAGAGAGCAGACGCTGAAACAGATATGTTTGCCAGGTTGGCTTAGGCTTCTTTTATGTGACATTTGGGATGGGCAGAGAGTGTGAACGCTGGTGGCTATGGTGATTCGGCTGCTGAGTAGTGACTTGCTGAGTCGGTGAAACCTGATGGGCTTCCAGAATATACCCGAGCCGGGAGCTCCTTTGTCCTTGCTAAGAGCGCAGGCATAGGCATGTACAGGTGACAAAGTATGACAGCAAGGCTGCATGTGCCGTGCAGTCTAAAGTGCTTGGATGCCTGGTTGTTTCAAACTGGCCTTGTGATGGCTATAAATAAGGTGTCTGATCCTACAGAGTGGCGTGTGGTCTGCTGGAAAGATGCAGGGCCTTCCTTTGACGTCAGCTCTTAAATGGAAACTAATTACAGGAACAGGTTCAATATAAAACAGTGTAATGCCAAGGTAACGGTGGGAATGCCTAGGTAGCTTTACACTGAAATCCAGTGTAGGGTTTTAGGCTGTGCACTGAGGCTCAAAAAAAATTGAATTGTTGGACATCCATTTTGTGTGAGATGACTTGATGGGACAGTGCTCTTATGATACGATTAGGGGAGATGAGTTGGTAGCTGTGGTTATCACTCCTGTGTTGGCTCTGAATAAGAGAAGTCCAGTACAGTATCGATCTGCAACCCAAATCAGTGAAAATACATACGTTTACAGTGCTGAAGTGTGTGTGGCTTCACTTCAGGCTTGCTCCATGTTGCCACTGGTAATTGTGGGAGTGGTGTGCAGAGTTCCCCAAGCCTGCTTCAGAAAATGTATTCCTGCCGTGGGCCTGCCTAGCCCAGGAGGCAACTGTGTTCCTTCAGGAGTGAAAAGCCGTGAAAACATCACGGCTTGAAAATCAAAGCTTTCTCTAGATAGAGAACATTTCTCTGCAGGTTTCCACAGCCCTGCAATACAGGGAGGGCCATCCTGTGACAGCCTTTGATCCCAAACACTAGCAACGAACTGATTTAACAAATCTAGCTGTATGACTCACACTCCATGGCAGCATCCAGTTCCAGTAAGGCAGAATCTAACTCCTTTCTGCATTGAAGGATTCATTCTGTTTGAATTTCATGGGACTGATGATTTGTATCACGTCTGAGCCTTGGCAAAGGGCCTTTTTGTGGGAAGTAGATTCAGGACAAGTTTGCAGTGATTATTTTTATTCGGTCAGCATGAGTTACTGTTGAGTGAAGAAAGCCTCACAGTTGCCCCGAGGTGGGGCAGGGTATCTGTTCTTCTTCTCAAAGTGAAAAACAGTTCAGAAATTATTCTTCCATTCTTTTTTTGAACAAAATGCACATTTGCGTTGTATTTAGAAACATACAGCTTCTGTATGTGAGGCTGTTAAAGAACTGAGGTTCTTTAAAACCTGGGGATGGAGAGGAGGGTTGGCCTAGCAGGGCGCTGTATTCATTTCCAACTCTGCCACAAGGTGAATGGACAAATCATTTAGTCTGCATTGTTTCCGTGTTGTAACATTTGCAGCCCTTTAACGCCCTCATAAGCTTGTGAGTAGTCAGACTTCGTACACCATGCCATGCCAAATGTATTCTTTCTCTCTAACGGTGCTTAGCTTCTGAGAAGAGAAAGTTGTTGGGAATAACTGCATCTTATCCCTGTCATCTTAAAAGAAAAAATCTGTGTGGATTCCCTTTTAACCAGAAACATGCTGAAACTTGCATCTCTGACCATAATGGGAAACCCCTGCAAACAGCTGGACCCTCCTTGAATGCCTTGGGAACTCTGAAAAACTCCTGTAGGAATTTGACCTTATTTGTAACACTCTTGATGAAGCTTCCACTTTGCTGCCAGCATGGGCAGAGACAATACACAGAGCATAGGGAGGTCTCACAAGTTATTTGCAAGCAACAAGCCATTAATGTCCCTCAGGCCAATGAATCCTTTGCCCCTTTATCGTGCTGTTCACAGCTGTCTTGTCTGCATCTCCTTGAGTGACTTGTTTATACCGAGAGAAGCCAATTTAAAATGGCCTTTTTTAACTTGTATCCGAGTGCAAGGTAATGATCTAATTAAGGGACGGAGAAGGAGGAACTTGAATGTAAAACAATTACTCTTTTATCATTTAGTAGAGCAATATCCTTGATCACATTCAGTGCACCTGACACATTCACATGTACGTTTGTACAGCAGCTATCCCTGCCCAAAGGGAATGAGATGGATGTGTCTAGCTCACTTGTAACATCTGGAACTGGGTCTTCTTCTCAAGGACCCTGTCTCTCTCCATACAGAGAGCCCAAAGCAATTTTACTCCTGATCTGTGTCGAAGGGTCTGGGCTTGGTTTCAGAGTTGTCACAAGATCATGGGAACTCTAGCTCCAAAGCTGAGGTTCAGGTCATGGCGTGTGGCCTGAGCTGAGTAGTCTGCTGAGAAGTGAAATGTCCTTGTCGCCTAACATACGAGTTCTCTCCTGTGTCTCTGTAGAGAGAAAATGGATGTGTTTACAGAGCCCTGAGGCAACTCGGATGGTCAGTGGTTCTGTCTAGCTCATTGGATCTGATAATGTAAGAGCAGAGGAGTGAGTTCAGCAAAGGCTGCCTGTGCTTCAGATGCAGATTCCCTGGCATTTGTCATTTTAAGGCAGGGCCAGAAAGTCATTCAACCCAGTTTGTATTGATTTCCCCCTCTTAATGCAGATGTCTATGTGACTTGAACTAGAGCCTTCACAGTCTATCACATAAATATCTGTTACACTGTATAAATAATAGACTCTTCTAGTCTGTTTAATTGTGACCAGATCTAGTGTGCAAGTATGAAATACATGCAATAAAAAATTCGTTTTAGGCCATGAATACTTGTTACTGTTCCTGCAAACAGAAAACTGGTTTTAAGAGATTACTGCCCCTCTGTCCAAGCATTCTTGACTCCCCTCCTCTTCTCTATCCACAGAAATTTTCCACCCTACATTTCTATTAGTACAAGTTTGTGGCTGTGCTCTAAATTTGATCATTTGGCCTATGAAATGCTAAAAAGCAAAAAAGAAAAGGCATTTTTTAGGGGAAGAGCAGAGAGGGGTGAGGAGGGTGGAAATGAATCCTGGTGGCAGGAACAGTGACAAGAATCTCTTAAACCTATTTTGCAGCGGAAGGATTCGCAGCGTGAAACTGTAGCCTAAAGAGAAAAGAATTAAAAAGAAAAAGCCCATCCATTTTGCTGGTGCTGTGTGGAGCCCAGAAGGCCTCCAAATGGTGGAGCTGGCATGATGGGTACTAGCCTCTGGCACTGACAGGGAGGCAGCTGGGTCCAGGGGTGGCAGGAGCAGAAGGGGGATCTGCTGAAATCTGTGCTGAGCAAATAATGACATTTAACACGGCCGTCCTTTAGTAGGTCCAAGTGCTTGTATTTGGGAATGCTCTTCTGCTACAGCCTGATTTCACCATACTGCTGATGACAGCTATCATGCTTGGTTTGTGGGATGAGCAGCGCATTGGGAAGGGAGTCAGATTGCAACTTCCTGCTTTAATATGCCCATCAGGCTTCTGAATTGTGCTTTCCTGTAGGTGTGATGCTCTCTGTGTAGGTTGGATTTATATTCAGAGGAGAAACTACTTTATTATTGATAATTAAGAATATGTTATTAGAGGCTGAGCTGTGTATATGTGATAAAACCCACAGCTATCCAGGTTTGAAGGCTAAATAAATCTCAGCTGCTGTTTAATTCACATATAATACCTTATTAAATCTGAATTGAAATGAAATTCCGAGTAAGAACTCTAGGTTAAAGTGGAACAAAGCCTACTTTCGAAAAGTTGTTTCTCAGTTTTAGATAGTTTGACTGTTTCGCTTTTTGTTTCAGAACACCAGGAGGTAAT